TGAACATCGTGAACACTCAACAGTCAGATGTTTCTTCGATAATTTCTCTGGACACCTATGTGTACAAACCATCGTCCAGTCGCGATAACCCATCAGGTCATTCGCTTTTGCATTTCACATTACATCTTCAGATATCAGGACATTTGCTTTCTTTTATTATTTTTCTTTTACATTTTACATTATCAAATAAGGCTTAATAAATCATACTTCTGAGAAATAATTAAATGAATTTTTTCAAGTTTAAGTTAGAGTTTGTCCACCTCAAACTTGCTATGAAAATTATTCGAAGTAACAAAGTAACGTTTTAAGAAGCTGTAAAGCGAACATGAACGTTTTAGTTGAACAGTGAAAAAACGTGTTTCATTGATTGATTTGTTTCATTCACTTATTCTTAACACATTGGTTTTAATGGTTTTATATGCATTGTTTAATCAATACGTTATTTATTTATTTTTTTAATTTTTTTTTATATAATTTTTTTTGCATAAAATTCTAGCGGTTTGCTTAATAATTAATAAATTGCATTAATGTTATATCGCATAGTGACTGGAAGGAAAAAAAATTCAGTTACATTTTCGGATGGAATCGCTTCCAATGAAGAAACTAACAGTTTCTGATAGCTCATTCAATTGTTGCGGACACAATTATTATAATTTCGTCTAAAAATTAAATAAATTAATAAATTTTCTCGTATAAATTCAATTATAATAAATTAATGTAAAATATTAATTTGTTTTTTCTTACTCAAAATTTACTCAAAAATTGACACGTCGTATTAGCAATAATTTCATAGACTATGGATATTCACTATTAATGTTGTGAATGCAGGATTTCAAAGCTGAGAATCCAATTGGGTTATCGTGAAATAGTGTACAACTAAGTTGGTATGGGACAAGGATTTTATTATTAACTGTACCAAACTTAGATTTATTATAATATATCTTGATATAATATATATCCATGGATATATATATTCATGTATCTATCGAATACATTGATTTACGCAACTTATACTATACTAGGGGTAAAATGTATCAATTTAAAAGATAAAAAAAGAGGAGCCAGAAAAGTCAAACTGGCAGAAAAATTAAGGTGTATTCGTATATTATTGTAGTTGAGTACATTCGTATGTATGCACTACCATAAAGACAACAATAAATTTATTAGGCTACCCTTTTAATAAAACTCATAAAGTTGATGGGTGCTGCAAGCGAAAATTTGTTTTTTTTTCAGTATCTGTATGTGGCATGAATTCTAGGTGTAGGTATTCTAAGTATATGGGTGCGGTGTGTAAGACTAAACCTTTATGCATACATGGCTGAAATTATATTCAGCTTTGAACAAAAGTTAAAAAAGCCAAATTTGGCTTTTACGTAAAAGCAAGTATGTATTGATTATTTTAATAGATTAATTTTTAAATATCATAAATAAATAAATATGCCGATGATTTTATTTTCGAATTATTTTTAATTCCACGTTATTTCTGCTTAATTTGAATTAAAAATTACATGCAAATAAAATAATTAAAGTTTTAATTAAATTTTTGCAACTGCAACAATTCGATCAGGATGAATGATTTTTTCAAAGATTCCTTCTCTGATCAGCAGCAGACGACTCCTCACCACCACCACCAGCCCCACCGTACGACTTGGAGCGACTTTTGTGAACATCACGCATCATCTGCGGCAGAAGAATTTGCCTGGTACGTCAGCCAGTATCTTCAGGACAACCCACAATATGCTGGACAACATTTTGGTGAAAAATTTACAGAATATTTTCTTCATCATTTTGATTCCTCCATCCTCACCTTGAGAATCATCAAAAGTGGGAACCATCTTCTCAGGAGTTCGTCCACTTTTTCAAATGTCGAAAGAAAGTTTGTTATTTCTTTATTTTGTTTGATTTGGGAATATAATTTGGTTCAATTTTATTTGCAAGAAATGACTTCTTAATCCTTAATCATTAAGGCTTAATGGAATGTGTAAAAAGTTTTTCAAGTTATTTCTTTTTTATAAATATCAAGTAACAGCATTCTATTTTATTCATAAATTCGTATTTCAACAATAAGTATTGGACGTCCATCTCCAACAAAATCCGATCCATCACATGACGCTCGGGTCCAAAAGCTAAGAAACTTTAGCTTGATATCATCAAATGATTCATTTGAAGGAAGTCAGTTGGACCTAGGTGCAACATCAAGCAAATCAAAGATTCCTGTTATTGGAAGCAGCAGCAACAAGATGACCAAGTCATTTTTAAATAAAAGCAACAGCAAGAGTAATGGTACTAGTTTTAAGAGTTTAATAAAGAATGGTTCATCATCATCAAACAAGGCACATCAGAACATCAACAAATCATCTGTGGACAGAGACATGTTGTTCCACTCTCAGAAACAGCATACCATTTCATTTTTCCATAAGTTTGCTTTTAAATCAAGAAAATATGTGAACACTAAGCCTTTGAAGAACTTATTCAACAAACATTTTCATGATTTTAATCTTTCTCAAGACAAAACTAAGTCGTCGTCATCATCACAATCATCACCAAGCGGCAGCAGCAAACAACAACGAATCAATCAAACCAACATTCTAGAAAAATTAGTTTCATCAACTTCATCATCCTCCCTTCCAAAGATGACAAAATTGTTAGTGGAATGTTTGAAGGAAGGAGGAATGAGCTTGTTGACTGAGGATGAAACATCTGGAGACCCCAGGTGGCTCAAGTGCAAGGTTGTCCTGCTGAAAACAGTTGCTGGTGATTTCTTTGAAGTCTATGCTCCACCAAAAGTTAGTGTTGCTTGCACTGTATGCTTTGTTTGCTTTAAAAGTTTGTATCATGTATTATTTCCATTGTTTTTTGTTCATGCATCTATTGATAATAGATGCTCATTTACTTGATAATTGAGATGAAAATTTTTGATGCAATAAAAAAATTTTGGTGATGGTGGTTTCTCTTCTTTCTTTTTTTCCTATTTGTCGTTATTAAATGTATTCTTCAAAACACTAAATGTATCGTATGTGCGAGTGTGTACATTTTTATGTCTATGTACACACGTGTGTACATAGTACATTAGTAGGTCTATGTACATACATTTATACACTTTACATACATGCTCATATATATTTGCAGTCTCTGAAGCCATATACAGGCTTGTTCTGCTGCCTCATTAGTGAAGTTAGACATACAAATGATTTAGAACTACCTGAATGTCCACACACATTTGTTATCAAGGTTATTTATTGTTATCATCGTCATTTCTTTCCTAGTGTTATTTGTTATCAAGTTTTCTGATCATTTTAATGTTATTCATTAATTCATACCTGGTCTGTCATCATAAATCATTTATACTTTTTTAATTAATGTCAGTGGTTTCGTCATCACTTTTATCATCACGTTCTATCATCATCTCCATCTACCACCATCATCATCTTCAATAATAATCATCATTAATCATCGTAATTGACCTTTTTTAAACTAGTGTATTTGTCATCATAATCATCATAGTCGTTATTGTCATCATCATATTCGTAACAGTCATTGTCATCATCATCTTCTTCTTCTTCCTCATCATTATCATCATAATCATCGTTATCATCGTCATACAGGGTCAGCTGTGCCAGGAGTTCGTCTTTCAGTTGAAGAGTGATGACGATTTGAGAGATTGGATGGCAACATTCCATGCATATCAGCAGCAAAACGGGTATCATCATCCTTTTCATCATCATCTTCATCTTCGTCATTTTCATCATCGACATTATTATCATCAACGTTATCATTATCACCCACCTTTACCATCATCGCCCTCATCCAATCGTCATCGTCATCATAAGCGTTACCATCAGGAAACATTTGAATCCAAATAAACTATGCTTAACAGTGGCACAAGCAGTAGCAGTAACAACCTCAAAAATGACAACAACAATAATGTCTCTGCGACGTCAGCAGCGGTTGCAGCAGCGGTTGCAGCAGCACAACCTCCTCTCCCTCATCATCGTTTCTCATCATTCATGACAAGCAGATCTTCTGCAACGGCAGCAGTATCACTTGTAGATTCGGAGTTTGTTCTTCTCAGTGGAAGCAGTGCTGGTTGGTTGTGCTACTTTCATTTCATGAAAGGTTTTTAAGTCAAGACTTAGTCTTCAATGATTGCAACAAATTCAATTTTATTTATTTATTTCATTCGATGTATTCATCTAAGAAATATCTATTCGAATGACTTAGCATGAGTTTTCCTGTATTTTTATGAAGGTACTCGGAATGCACACACGTTACCAATATCGGCATCATCATCAATGACCTCATCGTCGTCGTCGTTATCACAAAACATTAGGAGGCTGTCCACACCAATTGATGCTGCTACTGTCAACACCACCAACAGTAGCAGTAATATTACTACTACTTCGAGTACCACAGTTACTACATCATCCGCAACAAAAAATTCTTTCTTGCCTGTTCACAAGCTGAACAAAGCGACCAAAAATGTCAATTCTGCAAGTAGTAATATTATTTTTTTTACAAAATCAACTACTGTTAGCGCTACTACTACAAATACAACTGCAACTGCAATTACTACTACTTCTAATACTTCTAGCACCAGCAGCATTACTGTCGCAAACACTGCCACAGCTATAAACAGCAGCACTAATATTTCAAGTGCCACAAACAGTTCAAGTCATAGTCCAGGCAGTGTTGGTAGCAGGAGTGTGTTGAAGTTGAATGCAATAGGAGCAAGCAGTTCTCAAGCAAGCACCTCTAGAAGCACCTTTGGTTTGAAGAGATCCTCAAAGGTGCCACAAAGTGGTCTTGTACAGTCACTTATTGGCAAATCAACACAGGCCACGTCTGACAACACCAACAACATCAACACATCTAATAGCAGCAGTAGTGTTTTAATGCCGTCAACATCTGCAACAAGTACTCAACAAAGTTTTGCAATGTTGAGCGGCAACAGCAACAAACACCATAGCAACAGTACCAATACCAACAACAACAACATTATTTTGAATGATTGTCCATGGTTTCACGGCATGATAACGAGAATGGAGGCAGCTCGGCTGGTTCTTCAACAGCAACAACTGCTGCAACAAGTTCCTCAACACTCTCAACAGGCAACCCAACAGCAGAACAACAACAACAACAACATTCCAGCCAACCTTCAAGGAATATTTCTCGTTCGACAGAGTGAGACTCGCATGGGAGAACTGGTCCTCACATTTAACTTTCAATCAAAGGCCAAGGTTGTCAGCATAATTTTTTAATCTGCTGTGTTTATAATTAATGTGACATCAGATTTGCTTTAAACATAATGTGATGCTTTTTACTATTTATTGTTGAATTTAATGGCTAACTCATTCAATTTCTTCTATTTTTTACATCGCAACTGATGCTCTTAACAAAATCTATTTGATCTTTCCAGCATCTACGAATGACCTTGAACTCTGGGGGAGAATGTCACGTGCAACACTTGACCTTTCCAACTATCTTTGACATGCTGGAACACTTCAAGGTTAATCCCATTCCACTGGAGACTGGAGGACTGTCTGACGTCACCCTCACCAGCTATGTCCTCTCACAAAAAGTTCTCTCGTTGAGAAATCATCGAACATCTCAGAGACAGCAAAATCTTGGTGGTGGTGGTGGTGGTGGTGGTGGTGGTGGTGGTGGTGGTGGTGGTGGTGGTGGTGGTAATCTGAGTGAGAGTAGACATGGTCGTCAGTTGCCTGGCAACCGAGTTAATGGATTGGTTAACAGCAACATGGTACTCAGTGTTGATGATGTTAACGTTAATAATAATCTTAATAATAGTAATAACAATAATAACAGTCAGTCAAGTCAATCTTCAAATAGCAATACTGGTAGTACTTCTGTTACCACAATCACCACACCACATGAAGCCACTAGATCAACCACAACAACTACAACGTCAAATACCAGATTGCCTGTGATAACATCTATGTCCTCAGGTGCTGTGGCTGGTGTTGCTGGTGGTGGCGTTGCATCTGTGGTTGTGAGTGGGTCTGTGAGGTTGAGGATTGAAGAGGTGGTGGAGATGATGATGATGAACCAATCAAGTAGTGCTGCTACATCGTCGTCATCATCCTCCTCATCATCTTCTTCATCTTCATCAGCCAACAGAGCTGTAGAGAACACTTATTCATTTGTTTAAGTCGTTTGTTTGTTTTGTTTGTTTTTTTATGTTATTTAGAAAGCATTTTCTGCTATCGGCTTTTGTGTTTGATATTCATTTTCTATAGTCACAAATTTGTAATCAATTTATTTTTCCTGTAATTTCACCGTCCTAGATTCATTTCATAATTCACTGTTGCTTTTCATTTGTTTTATAAACTTCTCAAGTCTCAATTATGGAAAAAATTAGTTAAGATCAACCAGCAAATTGTCAACATGACAGAATTTGATCTGACGATACTGCAAAATAGATCTAATTCAGAATGCAATGCTTACAGGGTTTTCCTCAGTTTAAAATTTTTTCCACCATTATATTCATGACGACGCCGTAGTTGGAAATTGAACCCGTTACCTGCGACACCACTACTAACATATTTGTTATCACTAACAATCTTGCAGTATATGTGTGTGTGATGTCTTTATTACGCTTATATACTTACTAGTTTGATATTATTATTATTTCTTCAGCGCATTATTATTTGTGTTTTATTTAGAATTTTGAGCGCTATTTTAAAATTGTTCTTCATTTTGTATGTTGATTTTTATTTATTTTTCTTTTTTTTTGTTCCCTTACATCTAATCAAATTGTTTTCTTCTATCTTATCACTGCTTTGCTGTTTGATAGCTGCCGCCGTCACATTTCAAGTCACTCGTTTTATTTACCTTTTGCAGTTTATTTTCCTCCCTGTGATTCATTCTTCGTTTATTCTTGTTCATTTTCAATTTCTTATCAGTCGTAAACAATTTTATCTTGTTCTAAATGTAGTCACCGGTTTTAACGTTGGATTTGATATTTCATTTTTTAAACGAACGCAATATTAACATAAGTTGCCCGGATATTATTGTTAACTTTAGTTAATTAAATGATTAATTAGTTGATTAATTAGATGATTAATTGATTAATAAATTTTACATTATTACTTTTGTTATTATTTTTGGCAATTAATTATTATTATTATTGTTTATTTCTGTGACAATATTTTCAAATGTTTGTTTTTTTGAGTTAATGTATTAAACTTTTGTCAGCCTATTTTAGCATTGTTAAACTGTTTTGTGATTTCAATTCATTGTGATATATAAATATATAAAATTTATTTTCCATGATTATCAGTCATCCATCTTTTTTCATTTTTCGTCATTTTTTTTTGTTTTTTTTTATAGCTCTTTGTTGTTTTTATTGCTTTTATTGTTAATTTTCTTGACGGCTTTTATTATTTTGTGGAGTTTTTTATTTTATAAATTACTATTGGTTAATTTTTTAAACACTTTCTTGTTTATAATTTCATGTAAAGATTATTTTCGAATTTTGTAGAGTTTGTAGGAACACAATTTTATTGTAGTTATAATTTGTTTCATTTTACTTTCCCTGGTTTAAAACGTCAATCGTAATGTATATTTTTGGTTCTTTTTTCGATGTTCGTAAATTAATTTTCCTTTTTATTTGAAATTTTGAAACACGATTGAGTTACTTTTTTTGCTGAGCTATTAACCCCATGTACGTTATACCAGTGGTGCAGTTGAAGATTGGAAAGCATGGAAATGTAGTCTATAGATTGCTCTATCACGTTTCTGTTACACTGGAAGCAATGGCAGTACGGACGACAAACATTCTTTATTATATTTCATAATTGAAGTCATTTATGTAGCAGATGGATATTGGCTGGGTGGATGGGGTGATTATCTAGTTAGACGAAAGCCTTCTAGTCAAAATTAAACTGCTATAGTTCAATTTCTAGTCTAAAATTTCTTGTGGGATGAAGGGGTAATTATCTAATTAAACAAAAGCTTTCTAGTCAAAATTAAACTGCTATAGTTCAATTTCTAGTCTAAATTTTTTTGTTATAAGTTCTTTAAAAAGCGTGAAAGATTAAATTATGGTCATATGCTGTCTTGAATAGTGAACATTGAAATTAGGATTATTGTATTTTGAGTTGTTGCTGTAGTAGTTTTGGTTAAAACTTAGATACAAATTGAAATCAGCAGCAATTATTTCGTTAAATTTATTCCGAAGTGATTTCTATTCGTCATCCATTTGCACTCTCTTCATATGGTTTTATCATTATTATTATATTATCATTTGAGATCACGATTAATGTTATCATTGTTGTTATTTTGTAATGTTATGATCATGTAAATGTCATTTCATTATTGACGGATCATCATTTCTCAGCATATAGCCATCATGTCAGACAGACTGTTACACAATTTTTTTCATCTATATATAGCAATGTTGATGACGATGATGTTTGCAATGGTAATGGCTATATAATGTATCATATATTATATTTTACTCTTTCAAATACATCACAGCTGATGAAATCACGAACGCCATTTTCAATACTGAGGCTGATCAATGATAAATGATTTGCATACAGGGAAATATGATGATGGTGGTGATGATTATGTTTATGATAATAATAATAATGATGGTGATGATGATGGCTTAGTGATTACGGTAATGGTGACTGATACGTTCTTAAGTGTTTTTGGTAATTTTGTTTTTCAAAAGATTAGTTATTAGATGATATGAAATTTTAATGTCTTGTAGATAGTAACTAACTCACTCCTACTTTAATTGATCCTAAAACGATTGTATCATGTGAGCTTTAATATTATTATTCATTCTCATTCTGTTCTGCTATTATTATTGCTATTGTTTAAATCATATATTAAGAATAATAATTTTATCATTATTATTATTATTGTTGTTATTAATGTCATTGTTGTTGTTTACTGTGATTTTATTTTTTTATTTTTTAAAGAAATAAATGCTAGCAATCAATCATTTGGTTTGTTGCAGAAATTAATTAACAATGACTACGCTTAGTAGTCGATCGAATGGTGTTAGTTTGTAAGTTCACGGGAGTTGAGTTCCTGTGCGTTCGAACCAAGTCACTGCGAAACGGGATCAGACGTCATTACTCATTACACTATCCTTTCGCATGGTATTGTTATGCATCGAGTACTAGAACGTGGAGTCAAAATTGAAAATTTCTGTGAGAGGTCTTAAAATTTGGTAAAAAGAAGATGGTGAGTTTTTTGGATTATGATATGTTTCTTGCAAATTTTGCTATTTGAAGCAGTGTTTAAAAACTTATTATACAATACAAAACATCGCTGCATTTTTGTATTATTACGTAAAAATATCCGTTCGTACAACATCTTGTTGTTTAAAATGTTGCCATTGGGTCTTGTTGCCTTTCATTCAGTTATTTGTGAAGTATTATTATCGTTCATTTATCAACGTTTGTTTTTTTTATTCATCTGCGTCGATATTTTGAGAATTTGGTTAAGTCTTGTCAATCAAAATATTATTTCATTTGATCAATCGTTAGTTTACACGTGACCATAGTTATTTTTGTTTTTTCTTATTCTTTTTCGCAAACGAAACAACAATGCTATTATTGTTGTCGTTGTTGCTGTTGTCACTATTATTAAAATTATAATTATTGTTGTTAATGATGTTGTTGTTGTTGTTTTTG